ATAGATTAAATTTTTCCGTAGATTTCGGTCACTTACCATGTTGATTGCCGGTGGCTAGGCATGAAACGACAAGAGAGCAAATTACAAATTTTAGCTTTCGACATATTACCATACCAGACGACTTATTTCCGTATCTACGGTTTTTCCCTCGCTATCTCCATGCGTATACTCCTCTTCAGTAACACACCGAAATCGGAAAACATCATGCTAGGCTATCAGACGTATATACTTAGATGTAATCCATGCAATTCTCTGGTACACGCTACACTAGCATAGATGAAACCAGTTTTTTTTATCAGCTCTCACAATTCTCATACACGCTAATACAAACACACATTTTTTTCAATATAAATATGCAAGTACCCTTATATTCTCATCGATCGAAACGACGGAAACGACAAGGGCGTCTTGTCAGTCCGTTACGGGACTTCCACTCGACTCACCATTCACTCACACAATTCATAGAAAAAGATTGAAAATTTCTCAGAATCCTGTACAACTCAGGACTATTGTTACCAATAGTCCAAGACTTTTGAGCGTAAATGCTAATAGAAAAACAGATATGACTGGCTTTAGAAAACTGTTATACTAGAACAAGTTTTGAATAGATCAAAAACAGACCATCGATCGAACCGTTATAATGACAAAGTAGTAACTAGTGCAGAATAAAATATAATAGCGAGCACATAATGCAACAAAGTCGCGAGCTTCATTGCTGTCAGATAACAAACTATTTTCCAACGTATGACCACCACAAGTACCTGACAGCGCTGTTGGAACACATAAGGTCCAACTCAATTAGTGACCGTTCAACTTAACGAAGAGTATTAGGCCTTACATGTACGCGAAGTAAACGTGGGAGGCTCTATTAAGACATTGCAATTGTGAATTAAAGGTAGTTTCTGTTTTCAGGTGGACCATAATCTTCTTCGTTTGAAAGAAAGTCATCAGCCACTCTCAAGGTATCCAACTGTTTCTTGCCTTCATATCATGTACATGTTCTATTTAATACAGATTTTACATAGATTATATTCAAGACAGATACCCCTTGTCGAAGTGACTCCTTGACGTATTATTTATATTTACCGGCTTCGAACTTATTCACATGAAAAACGACCTACGCTTTTCGACGTAAATCGACCTACTTGAAGATGAGATAGTTATAATAGGTGTATGTATTACTACTGGCTAAATAGGATTAGTGCGCGCAATAAACAGTGCGACAGTGGCCTTTAGAAGACTGCATGAAGTAGGGTTCTTCATGCGTCACATTGAACTATAAATAGTTCACGTCAACTGTAGTGTTTATTGTACCCATCGATAATTTTAGTGAAACGAGGAATTTAAGCTGCCGACAAAAACGGAAACGCCAAAAGCGAATCTTTAGGCCCATGATTTAGAAGAGAATGGTATTTAGCGATATACAGGAATCACGCATGCAACCAGACATGGTCCACGAAAAAGGTTCTGAGTTTGTCGGGAAGATAAGCACAACGATAGCGACCCTTGAACAGACTCGCCATCTTGTCCTAGACCACTCTGTGTATCATGCAGTCAATTCTTATTGTAACATTACGCATACATCACAAGTCTACCCAATGCCTTGTAAACATGTCTAACCAATAGTCTTTAAAATCTAAAGCTCGTCTGTTCTCACTTAAGTGCATAACAAACAAACAAAGATATTAAAGAAGGTAAATAGAAATTAATAACTTATTATCATAACTATTATCGCCGCCATCATCCGAAAGCCAATAACACGTCGTTAGTACGGCATTATTACATTGCAATTGCACAAGTACGCTCGAATAGTTAAGTAGAACAGAGATATTACAACAGAAAAATATAGAAATACTAATCTAATTGAAGCTGTCGTGATTAGCAGTTCGATGAGAACGGCAATGATTTTAACGTCTGATAATAGAACACTAATACCTCACAAGGGGCGCTAAGGCAAAGTTTATAAGACTGCAGACTCATTCTAATCGAAATCTTTAAGAGATCTCAGTTCCATTATTCTAGGAGAGCCCATTAATCAGTTGTACGTACCGAGTGCAACGTCGACGAAGCGGAGGAACTTTGACGTGGCTTCGGGGCAGCTACGAATGCGAGGTACTGGATTACTTTTTTGGTATTTTCCGTCTTGCCGGCACCAGATTCACCTGTACACAGAATACTCTGATCCTCCTTGTCCTGCAGCATGTGTCTGTAATGTCATGGACGACAACAATCAGAAACCGGTGCAAAATACACTAAAATATCCAGCTATTTACGTGGGAATCTAAAACATTAACTTATGATGAAAACTGTACGATAACTGTATAAATAATAAAGACAGCAGGTTATTCTCAGTAAGTTGTTCCTAGTAACAGAAATATTTCCTGGTACCTGTACGACGAATCAGCGACTGCGTAAATATGTGGTGGAACCTCTTGTTTCTTTCGACCCTTGTAACCTTCCATCAACTGGTCTGTGTAAATCGGAAGTTTCTTATACGGATTGACCACTACACAGAACAGACCCGAATATGTCTGAAATAGAAAAGGCAGCAGGAATTAGCTGACTGTGGCAATTCATTTCCATTGTTAAGCTTACTTGCCACTTAAGCTTGATAGAGTCTTTGAGTAACATTTTGGGCCCAACAGTCGTATTAGCCACATGCCAAATCGCCCATTAACATTGACTTGCCGCATTGGATTTCAGCTTCGCTATGACCAAGGTTCGCTCATTTAACGTTGGACTCAGCGACAAGCCAACTTGATGGAACCACTGTGGGAAAGGACGATCGTTTCCTATTCGTCTTTTCAATAAGCGCCCATATCCCTCAAGTTCCTCAGTTAGCATGGATAACGCACCATGGAACATGGCGCGCACGCCATGGATACGTAGGTGGTGCGTGCTCGACCGGACACCACTCATAAGCGTTTGCTTCTTATGTATTATAAACGTGCTCGTATCAGTAGTCATCTTCAGGCTCAGCAGCACTAGCATCTTCCTCGTCTCTTGGTCGACTTTGTCTGCTTCTATGTATTCGTGGCTTCGACCTATAATATCGCAATGCTGTGTAAGGAAAAGGTGGTCGTGATACATTTTTGGACACCGTGTCCAATCGTTCTAAAACGTCTTAGTCTTGCTTGACGCTTGCCTCTATCGTAAAGCTAAAAGCATCCTTGAAATTAATTGTTGTGGAAATTTCGGCGTGACCAAAGGGCGCTCGTTGTCGATTTCCTGGAAGTTTTAATGACAACCATCGGAAAAAAAGGCAAACCTTGATAACATGAAAAAAAAAAGTGTTTTAATTTGCATAAGGGAATGCACGTGTTGGAAGTATGTGAACAATGTGGCGGTTACCTTGTCATCAATACTTCGACAAGCTAGTGGACCTGACTGTGTGACCTACATGGACGTACCACAGCAGCGGGCTTGTTCGCACTGAGACAAAACAGACAGAAAAACCATTTCATCGGGTGTCCTCATTAATTGAGATGCACCGATGTTGTCCAATATTCGGTATAGGCTCAAATCAGCGCCGATATTAGTTGGCGTTGATGTGTCTTGACGTTATACTCAAGTAAGTACTATCTATGAGCATTACGGCAGATTCACTGTTCAGTTCATTCTGTTATATTGTTACACGCTGCAGAATACATGGAATCCGTTGTTTAACGGCGGATAACGTTGCCATAATATATAATATTGGCTCAACTGATAATTGATATCAATGTATTATTCAATAATTCGCCATTATTTCGAGCTCGGCACCCGTTGGTTCTGCATGGTGCCACGAGGGAAGCCAGCGACATTCTTAATTATTTATACAGATGTGCGTATATATATATATATATATAAAGTTGGGCCGACAAAAAGTACTAACCGTTTTTAGGCCAAAACTATTGTTTACATTTTCAAATAATATGTTCAATATGTTCAAATAATAAACTAACTACCTTTTCGCTATTCCAATCGATAATGTCTAGCTGCTTTTTTTTTTTTGCTGACATCATGATTTCATCATTAACGAAGCTCTGTGATTTCTAAGTCGCTAAACTTTTTATAACTGTATGTCTGGTACAGGTATATAGTCTGGCATTGTCTCAGTGGAAAACGGCGCCTTTGTTGTCCCCTGATTTTAGTGGAATTTCTTCAATGGCTTGTTGTGGTATTATTAGCTGTTGACAATCAGAAGTCCGAAACGTTCGCTTCGCGACCGGCGGAAGATCTTACCAAATATACAATATCAAATTCTCTAGTGTCATCCTGAGCTTTGCCGAAGATTGTGAAGCAAGCTTTTTTTTTTATTTGCAGATCATTATCTCGCTCGGTTCTGTCACATTTCTGTGAAATTTCACAGATGGGCCTAGAATCGATTGAAATCCTTTGCTTCATTTGGTGTGATATTACAAACATTAAGCTTTTTCATAACCATCTGTTTTTGAACGAATTAAAACTGTTAGCGGGTGGATGTATACTTCGTTGGCGATATCATGGCGACTCACGTGTCGATCTTACTGAACTTTTCCAATCATTCCATCACCTTTTCCGTAACTACGAGAAAATTGCAACTTCCAGAACGAAAGCCGTCCTCTTGACGCAACTTGACTATAGATAGCATGAATATTTTCATAGGCATTGGCGGCACTTGTGCCCTTATCGTAACGAAAATGTGACTAGTTTTTATGGAAGTTCCACTTATTTTCAAGGCGCTCTATCTTAAATCTGAATAAAGGCATGCCAACTATTTTACGATGCCAGTTTGCGAAGGACACCCGACGTGATTTATATTATCTGATATGAAAGCCAAGGTAAGAAGAAAAA